ACCCACTTCTAACTATTTGATTCACCTTGTAATGGAACTTTCTCACCAAAACATGTCGTACAAAAACGTCATCCTGCTGGAATAATTAAGGGCGGAGCGGCAGGTCCGGAGTGGATGAAAATCCCTCCATGAGACGCCCCAAGGCCTTTTCATTACCCCAGGTTGCCTGCGTATGCCAAATGACAGGTAGCTGGCCAATTCACTTAGTCTTGTGAGTCAAACGCCGATGGGCCGCCTCCATCGCATAAGTACTATACTTGGCCAGACAACAGCATTTGTTGATTTGAACAGTCTACGCTTCGATCGATTCTGCCTGCCAACGGCGAAATCAGGCTCTGAAAGGTGTGCACGACCAACACGTTTCATCAGATATAGGGATAGACTCCAGAAAATCAAAACGAAAATTGGGCAGCAATCCAAAAACTTGAACACATATTTGAATCAGCATTTTCCAATAACGCACTCTCACAGACAGATTCCCGCTAGCCATCTGCCCGAGTACATTGGCTCACGCTCATCGTTGGTTCGCAGCAGATTGGACGACTCATACCTAGGCTGCAATAAAGTTGCGCTTTGTTCACAATACATCAACCCCATTCTGGGCTGTACAGGATGTTTTACTAAATTTTGTGCGAAGCTAGGAGTAGCTGCACTCAGGTGCTGACGTACCCCAGCACGCTGAATTGCTAACTGTCCAATGGCGCAAATTGCTTTGCCGAACGTGTGTCCGCAGGAGTGAGGTGGGGCACAGAGGCGGGACATGTGCGTCTACGAGCAAAAGGCACACCGAGCCGTTCGGTTGTGAGAAGTGAACGTTAGCCAAACACCACAGCCGCAATCGACGTGTCATGTTTCCATCGCAAGGCAATACCGGAGGAACCCAGGTCATTCGGCTGTGAGAAGTAAACGTTAAATGAACACAGCCGCAATCGACGTGTCATGCTTCGATCGCAGCGTAAGAGCAACGGGACCCAGGCCGTTCGGCTGTGAGAAGTGAACGTTAGTCAAACACCACAGCCGCAATCGACGTGTCATGCTTCGATCGGTTGGTAGTCGGCTTTACGCAGGTGAAAAAGAAAGCAAAAGGAACCCCTGCGAGGTGGTCAGTGGTTCGCTGTTCTAACAATTGAGAACAACCCGGCCGTATGTGATGACCGGTCGATGGGCATCATATTGCTATCGCCATACATGGCAAAGACAATCGCCAGAAATGCTGTTGTCGCCTCGTGACTGGCTTCCAACAAACCCGTAAGCTTTTATTAGGCGGTTTTCGCTGCTAAAGGAAATCATACTGCCAGGAGCACATTTTAAGGTTAAAGTGGGTGCATAAAAATGAATTCTTGACTTGACATGACTTGACAATGATGTTAGAGTTCAGTCTGCCCCGATGTACTCACTAGTGGCACCATTAGTCATGAATGCAACTATTGCCCTCACAGTCAGACAATCGCTAGTTGTACAAATTGATCAGGCCTTCGATGGTGTTTTTCGTGTGCAATCGAGAATAAGCATTTATTCGTTGCTTTACTTATACTTACATGAAATGTGTGAAATGTCTGTAAATATCAACGAATTAAATGTCCGAAGTGCCCTCCGTCGTTTTGACTACAGAGCAGCATTCGCCGGATGGTGTTGGCGGGCAGTTTCTGCAATGTCTCCAAAGAAATCTGCCTACATTCGTTCACAATGTTCTCTTTCAGTTCATCCAGCCTGCTGGGTTTTCTGCTATAAACTCAGCGTTTCATGTATCCTCGTATGAAACATTCCATGTGATTCAGATCTGGTGGCAGCACAGGTCATTCTATCGGTCTTCCGCGACCGATCCAATGTCCCCCGAACGTCTTGTTCAGGTAGGCACGAACCGATTGCGCCGAATGTGCAGGTGCGCCATCCTGCTGCCACCAAACCGTGTTCATTAACTCTTCTGACTGCAGCTGCGGAATGACGCTGGTCTGCAACATTCCCAGGTACGAGGATACTACGAAATGTCAGACATTAGTACTGTTAAACGACAATCTACCGGATACACTCATGGAAAAGAAAAAAAGGGCCCAATGGTTTTTCAACCAGTTAACGCAGCCCAGAACATGGTCTTCGCGCTATGTTGCACACGTGAAGCGCTACCTTACCGTGGGTTAGTTGTTGCCATGCAGGGTGAAAATCGCGTCATCGGTGAACAAAATGGAATGCACGTTCAGACTGTTTAAAAACAAACGGGCGAATTCCAGGGACTTTTGGAAATCTCATGTGTTCAACACTTGCATGTGTAGTGCCGTCGGATATTTTTCCTTCATTATCTGATGCACAGCATACGGTGTGGCTTCGCAATGTTGGCGAGTTGCCGAATGCTGAGATGGCTCCTACTGCATACCACTTGCGCAACCGCGCAAGCTGATACTTCATCCGTGATGGTGCGTGGCCGTTCGGTTTGTTTGATGTTGCAAACGCCGCCAGTTTCTGCACATTTCTTCACCACTCGAATCACATACCGCTCGTTAATGGGCCGCGCAACTCAGTGTGTACTGTAATAACGCATTGTGATTTCTGCCGCAATGAACCCAAACGCTCACCATACAGCTGCACAATGACCACGCGTTGATGGGCCGGCACATTACGTGACTGCGGTTGCTGAGACATCGACGACACAGGTGTAAGCTCCTGCTCCAAAGCTGCAACAGCGAGCCACTAACCACCTCGTAGGGATCCCTTTTGCTGGCTTTTTCACCTGCGTGAAAGCCGACTACCAATCGATCGAAGCATGACACGTCGATTGCGGCTGTGGTGTTTGGCTAACGTTCACTTCTCACAGCCGAACGGCGTAGGTTCTGTCGGTCTTGCCCTGCGATCGAAGCATGACACGTCGATTGCGGCTGTGATGTTCGGCTAAAGTTCACTTCTCACAACCGAACGGCTCGGTGTGCCCTGTGATCGTAGACACACATGTCCCGCCTCTGTGCCCCATCTCACCCCTGCGGACACACGTTCGGGAAAGCAATTTGCGCCATTGGACAGTTAGCAATTTAGCTTGCCGGGGTACGTCAGCACCTGAGCGCAGCCGCTCCTAGCTTCGAACATAATTGATAATACACCCTGTATATCCGGTCCTGGCGAATGTGCTTACCTTGAGCCGGCGGCACTGATTGGTTGCCCACTCGCTAGCCCCGTCTGTGTCGCTCACTAGGTCGAACAGCCAACAGCGCCCCTGCGCTGTCCGGGTCAGAGTCGTGCGCAGACAACTCGCTGGCCCTTGGCTGAGATCAAAGCAGTGCCCGGTTCATAACACTGCGACCCGATTCCTAACCCGACCCGTGTAAGCGTGGCCAGTTTTCGTTGGCAGCGTGCAAGTTTCGCTCGCGTAACTCGACATCTAGCATCACATCGAGGTAACAGTCACTCACTTCGACTTGTACTCGAAATGATTATGAATGATTCCATCTCGCTATCACTACTTCTGAGGTTGAGGTTTAGACTGGTGTTCGATCGTAAAGCTTAGAGTATGTCGACGATATGGCACCTGTTGGATCGGACCCAAATGGTATACAGCCGCTACTGAATAGACCAACGCGTGGCATCATGTATTCACGCATAGGCTTGGCTCGAAATCGTCAATTGGTTTACGTGGTCGGGTATCACTGTATTACTTCTGGTGGTCATATCAGCAAGAAGTCTACAAAGCACATGACCAAGAGTCATAGGGTCTTTCAAAGGCTCACAGTGACGGTGGATTGCAAGCCTAATGGTTTAGGATGGTTATAAGACCGCAGTGGGACCAATGTTATTCTCGGCAGACCACAGATTCCGTAGCTACACGCGGGACGCGCTAGGAGGCTGGCTGGGTTGGAGCATCAATGCCTGCGAAGTGGTGCTCTCATCTGGTGGGAGAATCGAATAATAGGAAAGTTCATCTTCTGGCATTCGTCAGCGAGCCCTCCAGTGCACCTCATTGGCGTGTCTATTGAACTCGATGTTTGTTTTGCTTAATCTAACGGCCGGACGAGTAAAACACGAGGTGGTCTGTTAAGGTTATGACAGATGAGCCGAAAAGGCTCGCTGAAAGGATAAACCCAGTAGGCTCGCTCATCTTCCTCTCGGTTGGAGATCTCGAGATTAGACACGTAAAGGGACAGATAAAGAGATAAACAGATATATTTGCGATGGATTAGATGCGCTCCCTTTTATCTGTTTCCTTATCTCTGACTCCTAGACGCCCCAAATGTCAATATATTATTGATTGTTGATTTCTCCTGTTTTCATTACTTTTGATCTACAATTGCAACTTTGGCGCATAGATTCACTGAACGCCGGAGCACAGCGGATATTGGTTAGTGAATGAAACGGAATTGAACCTAGCCAACTGATGGCTGTTTCAACCCATGCCACCAAGACAGTGCGTGAATCGCATCGTAGGGAATTGGGTCATCCGAAATCGCGCAGGCGACGAAGTGTCCTTTCAGAACTGGAGAGCGAAGATATGAAGCGAGCGTTAGAGACACCACAATGTGTTTGATCCAAACTGTCAATAAAATGACCACAGAGCAAAGCGCTCATAATGCCATAAGTTAAGTGGCAGTTGAAGTTTGGCATGTTTGCCGCTTGATGAGGAGGCTACTCTGTGCTCCGTACCGTAGTATCGCGTAAGTCAGTGGAAGGTAAGCAACGCTATATCACATCTAGTAACAGCCACGACGGTTGCTGCCCTCCGCCGTGGCTCAGTTGTTTCAGCCATAGACTAGCAACAGTCGAGTTGCAGGTTCGAGCCCTACAAGGGTCAGATGGAATGAGAGTTACTGACTAATCCCGAAAGCATGAAACGGCCGTGCAGTGTTTTCCTGGGCACGTGATGGCTGACTGAGTATGGATGTGATAGATCTCTAATTACACTATTCAAGGCCGTCTTTTCGATCAGTAATTGTCAACATGCATTCCGCGCCATCCACGCAACATGATAAATGCTAATGAAGCGCACGTGACTTGGGCAACAACAAACCTGAGAAACATACCTGCCATAGTTTGTCTACGATCCGAGTGCAAAAGTACACCATATGGGGCACAATGAAGCCAGCGTCCGCCCCTGCGGAGTGAGTGCAGATCGACTGATCCGTCAGCACGTCGGTGGCCATGAAGTGATGCATCAGTTCGCACAGAATGTGCGCTTGTAACTCGTCGTGCTCCTTCGACGCACACTGGTCGGTCCAAGACTGGAACGGGAAGGCCAGATATAAAAGAGAGATGAATACTCATGCACGGAACGGTGGTAATGGTAGTGGGGAGGGGGGACGACAGACGGAGACGACACAAGAAACAGACAACGGAGTCAAAGAGGGGAATGGGCATCTTCAGCTTGATGCTCAAACGATGGCCAACACAAATACTCGGTGGGGTGACAAAACGTAAACGGGATACTCACGTGGGAGTGGGCACACTGAGGGCATGGTAAAGTGAGAGGAAAGGGTAGACGGCATTTGCAGGCAGAGAAGCATTCGACTGAGGGAATAAAAACCCTTCTGCTTTTCAATGACAGGCGGTATCCTAGCCAGACGTCTCAGTAGCCATAAATCGACTAATTACCCGGGTTGTCTAACACATTGTGATAAGGGGGCATTTTGCAAGACACTGGACCGTGACCCTCCGCCATAACACAATTGGCTCGTGGACCATGTCTGTTGTGGCCACTCTGCGTGCTTCAAAAGTGAGGGTTACAGCCAAGCGATTGACACAATAGCGTGATGTATGAGGGTGCGGAGGATTTCAAGGATGGATACAATGCGGTAGAAACCGTGCCACAATTTATGGTGAAAAGCTTACAACGTAGCTCGTGCAATGGATTGAGAACCTAGCTCAAAGGGGCGGTGGGAACAGTTTATGACTCGAATCATCGTAAAACTGGCAATAAAGAAGGTATAGGAGCAAAAAAAGTCACAACAGGGTCGGAAAAAGAGCTATGATGGAATAAGATGGCAAACGCTTAGTCACCGGTGCAGTGGCAGTGGAGAAAATAAGACGTCAGTGGGAGATGGTCGAAGGTCCGGTCGCGTGGTCATCCTGGAGCTTCATCTAACCATGTGAGTGGACGGATGTTGGGAACGTGATTTGGCAACTCATATTCCACGTTTATATATGGTTGGCAACAACCGCTTTCGGATTTGCCTGTCACTGTGGCCAGCCAAAGGACGCCTGCGCCTACCTAGGGACCATGGGTGGCTTGTGCTCCACTACCCACAGTTCCATCCACACACCCCATATCCGGTGAAAACCCGAAGGAATAAGACCGGGAGGCACGCGGATGGGAGCCACGTTTCATCAACGGAGCCGGCCCACACTCCTTCACAGGAAAACACAAGCACGCTGTATTTGGGGAATCAAGTGCACACAAGGCGGTGGCTGGACCGTAATCCGCTCCACACTGACTGCATGAAACCACTCTTCGTACCTAGCACGGCCACAAGGACCGTGCACCCCGTCCCCTCCAGCAACGACCAACTGTCTCCTGGAGCCAGATGGACGAGGTAGTGGGTAATAGACAGGTAGGTACCTTGTCAACATGCACATCAAGCGCAGCCACGCCGGGGATGTCAAACAATAGCCAATCATTCGAAATGCCGATATCGAATAAAGTAAACGCATATGACGATATACATACTCGCTAAATGAGCACATAGAAGAAATTGGTTATAAGTGAATCCACGATAAGTCAAAAATGGCTGAAAGTTGTTTTAAAAATACCATGCGATAGTTACGCTATTTTATCACAATCAGCATAAGCGACGTGTGCAAGTTAGGAAAAGATTATTAGGTCCGCAGAACAAACCAAATAAAGTGGTGTGAATTTTATCCACATTAAAAAGACCTAGTTTAAGTGTAAGTTGGCTTAGCCCAACTGCGGTGAAGAAGCATCATGAATGCAACATCAGCCTCAGCATATATATATATATATATATATATATATATATATATATATATGAGGCAGGTTATTGCGCTCGTTCTCATCCCTAAATAAATACCTAAATGGTGTGATTTGTTCTTACGATAGACATCGGTGGTCATTCAAGTTTATGATCACAAGGTTGTCAATCGGCTTAGCGAGTTGCTACAGAGGTCATCTAGTCATGCGAACGCCATCTGTGACCGGGGTAATGGATTAGCTGGATGTATGCACTCGTGTGTGTGTGTGTGTATGTGTTTGCTTGGCATTCGCGCAACCAGCAGGTACGTTAACTAGTTCGGTTATTTCACGGTCGTCTGAGGTAAGAACCTGACCTCACGGTATGGAGGAGTTAGCGAAGCAAAGCGCACAAATTGAGCCACATGTTGTTGCTTGGAGTTCCACGACAACCAAAGCCATCGGACCTGAGAACCCAGTCCAATTTTGTTAGGGGGTGACAAAATATCAGGTATGCTGATACAACAACCGCGCAAAACTGTATTCGTTTCATTACGCACCCAGTCACCGGAAGAGTTTTAACGTGCTATTTCGCTCGCCCCATTTACTGTTCAGAGTGAATGTTGTAACGCGACGCGCCATGTTGTTTTAATCCCCTCGGAATTGGCGCGTTTCGTGCCGTCATGACCTTGATTGCGGACCGCATAGCCTGTGCTTATTCGCGTCTCGGTCATTCGATCATTTTCTGGTGTAGGATTGTTAGCGCGCACCCTATACGTTATGCGTCGATATTAGTTCTTAATAGGTGGTTGGGGTTTGACTTTCAGTCACCTAAGTTCTCTGTTTTCCATTGGATGTCATCAGGACCATCGCGACTTGCTCTATGTTTTGGAGACAGAAAAGCCTGGAATCCCTGACCCGGAAGTATATTACAGTAGTTGCTAGTCATTGTTTAAGCGTATCGCTGTCGTATTCCAAGGAAAAGAAGCCTGCATTTTCACGAGACTGCATTGTAATTAAAAATGTACTAGGAACATTCACAAAGTGCTTATTAAGTAGCTCACCAAATTAGAATATTGAGAACGATATGAGAAACTTAAATTTGATTCCTTCTGGATGGGGCGCAGGAAACACAACCGCATTATATGTTTTAACGTCCTGCACACTAAAAAGGATGTCTCCAACCTTAACATGACAATAAAACAGTCGTCACTGTACAACAGACGAAGTAAGGAAAATTTTTTAGTTGGATGCAAGTCGAAGACCATCAGACCCGTTAATTTCTTTCTTAACAGATGTGCCAGAATTACCATTCGACATACGTGCGCGCAATTCAGAGCGAGAAATTCGCAAAAGGACCAGCACATATTCGACTGCGCAGAAACCTGAACCACCTATTGGGATGTCACACAAGAAATAATCAAGCATACGAACAAGGCCCTGGATGCATCTAATCCGGAAAAAAACTTACAACAGAGAGTGGACATTGCAGTGGAAATGTCTCAAAACCCACCGTCTTTCTTTCTTCTACACGCCTATATACCAACCCAAAGTTAGCAACTACAAGTGTGCACTAAGGGAAAGAAACCAACTGAACATGCCTCTATATTCGGCACATTCATCGTCGATGTTCTTATAACTCTTATTGCAGTGTACTTTTACATTCCTCTTTTCTAGGCGCTTCTCTTCCTCCGATATCACGTGAGTGCTACAACCAACATTCGATACTACTGAATAGCCTTGAGCAACGCGATCTTCACAATGTGCTTAAAGAAAATGCACACAGTATACCCGTGCTAAACCTATTTTCCAATTGTCTAAAATCGTCCATTTACTTTCTTGTATTCACATTCCCAAGAGGCCCACCAATTCCGACATAGACATGCTGTGCAACGTCAGAGAACACACTGAAACAACAATAAACTATTAGGTTGCAACAAAATTGAAAATCAATTTCCATTATTATTGCACATTTTTCGATCACTAGTGGTCGATGCACTAGAAAATGCTTTCATTTACCTGAACACGTTGTTACAGGCGCGCCTCGCTGAAATCGAGTATATATTTATCGTTAGTCGTGGAAGCAGTCGGGACACTGACACAACAAACTCCATGAGCTTGTGGTAACCATGTGAACAAGATCGATCGGTTGGCTTGCTGACTCATTCCTACCTTACCATTGGTCGTGTGTCTGTCGTTTGACTCTCCGTTTAACGAGGGATTGAGACTCAGTTGCACTTGGTTATTTTTACGAGATACATTTTTACCTGCTCTGCGGCTTTCTTGATACAACAGAGCTCACTACAAATAGTGAAAAGGTTGTATCGTTCGCACAGCAATTAGGACTGAGAAACCTGAGGTGCGCTGCATCAGGTGCTGTAGGATTCCATCAGGAGGTACGAAAGGTCGAACAAGAAACAGTCACGTCGAGTGTGTTCGCCGCGATTTTAGCTTGTTCCCGTCAGCAATGTCCCTGTCGAGTCAGATGGTTACACATTGTTTGTCATCCGGCAGAGCATCAAAGTGACTGAAGCAGTTTGGATAGCGAGCGGCGTTCTTGCGGTCGACAATATCACTGAGCAAACACACTTTCTACATGGCGCTCTCGCACTGGGAACATTGCTTTTATATGGCGGCATTTCCAGCTAGCAGGTATGCTTACTTGGTTCACATGTTTCTCGTCAAATCTTGTCTGTATGTCTTCCCCGTCCTCCTACCCCAATAGCTCTTTAGCACTGTTAAGATTACCTTGTTTCGACTTACTCGGTCTGTATGCAGCACCTTTCGAAATTGCGTGACAACCGATGTAGGGGAACCTCGAACGTTGGGAAGGAGACCATGGCCAAATGCGGGGTGTGGTATCATCAAGGTACCAGAGCCAATAGCTGGAAAGTATATTCGCAAAACAACACCTTGAATCCACTAAGTGGGTTATTTACACCAAAACGGATTGTACCGCGATTCCTGCCCTCAACCTTGACAACAGTGTGATTGAGTTCGCGTGTGATCTATGGTCAGTCAGGGCAACAGTGGCTCCCAAGGCGCCAGAAAGCACCATTCAGCGTAGCGCATTTGCTCGAGTAGGTAGAGAAACTGCTGTGGCATACAAAGGTCCATTGTCAACGACATAGATTAGAGCAGGTTGCATGAAGGTGTCATGTTTTTCAGGAAATTGCTAGTAGCACATGAAAATGCCAACCGGGTGCTGATGCGTAATGGCACTGGAAAGTGAGTGAGCGGGATGTGCGGGGGGGAGCAAAATTTCGGCTCAGTAACATCGGGGGAGCTGAGAAGTGGGACGTACAAGACTGCACGACAAAGATAAGAAGTATGTGGTAACACCCAACAGGGGTCCATACTACCGACTGCGAATAGTAGTTGCTCATAAACCAACTGAAGTGTTCTGTTGGTACAAATGGAGCTGAAGTGAAAAGGTAAACAGCTGGATCGAACCTCAAATCTAACCTGCCTGCCAACAAGTACTGGATCGTTTCCCGCGGGAGAACACAGATGCATTTAGGAATACAACAGAAGGGGAAGACTTACCTCCAACAACGTGTCGACCATGTGCGCGGGCTGATGCATCGATGGGGGGAGAGTGAAACTGTCAGTCACAATGGTTTTCAGAAAATCCAAGGCCACTTTAGACACTGCGTGGTACAGTTTGGAATGGGAACCCGACTGAGTTGGGTGGTGGCGCTGAAGTGATGGGATGGATAACAATGGACAGAAGGTGAAAAGATGCCCATTGCATCAGAGCGCGTGAGTTGGCCGAGAGAACAAGAGACCAAGAAAGATCGCAAATGGGCTCAACATGGCTAGCCTCAATCATACCTCTGGATAATCACTGGATAATAGCGAAAGTTGATTCAATATGTGCACAGTCGCAACGAATTGGATAAGTTGGTGAGTTCAACTGTGAATCAATTGGGAAGCTGTAACACCCAACAGTACAGTTAGGTCTGTGGATATAACTGGGCACAGAGACCGACAGCGCGACTTAATCATCACTACTGATACTTGCTTGCGTACTGTGGGGGGTCAGAAACAACTACTAGGAGAGCCAGTTGTCAACGCACTAGACTACAGGCTTCTCAGAGCATCGAGGTTCCCGAGACTATTTCGAGTAACTTTTAAGGAAGAGTACAAGTCAAATAATCGTATCCAAAGTTGTTGGCTAGTGGCGCAAGTCACCAATGGTTATGGGTTCGATTCATGCCGAATCGGGAAGATGCGCACCACAGGCACGTACAAGTAGGTCGATGCATTTCCGGAAATGTGGAAGACTATATGGCGTGTAAACTGCTGTGACGAATGCAATAAAATATATCACAAAGCCCACACTCATTGGGAATTCCCAGTCAACTTGTCCCATCGGTAGCGGAATTAAACTCAAGAATGAGAGGAAGGTGGAATGCTAGAGCGTGTTTCAGATGGCCCAGATAGCCTGCATGCACACACACACACACACACACACACACATGCATTGGGTTAGCCAGATAGAGGGAGTCAGCTTAAAAGCGTGTGTCGAATTCTACGAGACAACAACACGGCAGCAGTGGAAATGACGACGAGCAGACAGACGGATGTAAAAAGTGTACCATAAAATGTTTGGTTAAAAAACACAGGGGACATATTGGAATATTAATTTTCCCAAATAGAATGGTTAACAAGAAAAAACCCATTCGACTACATTGCTCGTTTACGATAGATCCGATGCCCACAGTTTCTATCAAAAACATCTGTGGTGAACTGGATGGGATTCATGCAACCACGACGTGTTGGTCAAGGGATAACCGTGGAAAAACCATGAATCCTGAGAGCGATACCTTGGAATATGTATGGAACAGGTGGAAAAGTCATGATTCCAGAAGGCTTGGTAGACGACTGGTTGTCTATCAAGTCTTATGAAATGACGAATTCACGAATAACGCGATTGAAGACTGCTACATTGAGTTGAGGGCTGGCTTGCTGAACAATCTCCTCGTGGTGCCAGCTAGGCGGTTCGGGATTTTCCCGTTCCAGCAAATGGTTCGGCAGCAGTGTTCCAGGACGTGATGGGTTTTCGCCTGGAAGGCGTTCTCCCTATAAAAAGCCACATATGTCCACTTAACAACATTGTGACGTGGCGGACGTGACTTGCTACCAAATAAAGTCACTGCCCCTTCCTTCATCCTGGCGAGGCATAGTATTCCAGCAACTTTGTGCTGTAATTCTGGGGGAGTAGTGGGCCCATGTTTGACAAAGGAACAAACGAAAGGCGTATGAACTGAGCAGTCAGTCGCCGGCTCCCAATGAGCGCGATTCACTGAATTCCCTCCGCTGGCTTGCGGACAGGCTATACAGCCAAAGGTTCGGGGTGGTGTCCCCTAAGTCAACACCGTACTTCGTCTTAGGCAACAGTGTAGTATCTCGCCCTCTGACGAAACCATGGACTTTAATGTGTTGTGTTTTCTTTTACAATTTCCGTATCTTTTTTGTGTTCCATTGTTTCTGATGGATCTATGTCCATTTATGGACTGTTGCAAATATATATATATATATATATATATATATATATATATATAGTTGAGCAGTGTTCACGGTTCCGGAGTCGGACCATAGTTTGGAGCACCATACCGGGTCATGAAAAGGATCACGAAACGCAAAGAGAGAAAGCAGACACCTGGTATTGCTCCCGGTGTCGAGGCCTGTCTAATTAGGGTCCATGTGTGATGAATCCAGCGTGAATCCTGTACAAACGCGAATTTGATAGATTAGCATAGGATGAAAGTGCAACCTATGAGTTGGGGCGCAGTGACCATTACAGCGTACAGACTCAGACTGCCCAAATGCTCGCGTGGAGTCGTGGCGAAAAGTCCGAGGAGGGCATAGGGTGCATCAATTCCCACTGCCATGAAAAATACTGCAGAGTGGTCTCCAGAGGGGTAAAGTCCCCCGTCAAGTTACCAATAACCCAGAGACGTTACGAATTGCACTAGGGAGTGCCGATAACAATAAACCACATGGGAGTGGAGGACCAGGGACGCGTTGTATAAACGTGCTTGACTAGGTGAAGGAAGTTACCGCCGTCAGTCTTGACTAAAGACACCAGTTTTGCGCGAAAAAGCGCAAAAATTGCGGAATATATCAATCCCGTAGAATCGCAGAAAAATGAAAAGCTCTTAAGTAACGTTACCTCAAAAAAGTTTGCCCTTGTGATAATCAATATAAACAACAGGCGTTAATTTTTGCAGATGCCATTATAGAAAATGAAAAAATTATTAGGAGGAAAAACTATTCTGGATGGCAGAGGAGTTTCCTTGAGAATCCTATATCGAGAACGTGGAGAAGCAGTTACTGTTTTGTTCCTCGTGTGAAGTGACTGTGAATCCAGCTCGAACATCAACTGTGGCTGACTATATTCCAAAGAAAGCTCACGTGAGGCAAGAAGCTAAACTCGTTGCTAAGAGGCAACCAGCTCCGAAGAAATCTCGGCAAGCAAGCATCGTTAGTTCCATCGCCGTCGAAAATACTGCCCGGGAAGCCTGCGACACAGTGGTATATCACTTTCTAGTTGCAATGGTATCTGCAAATATTCCCCTAGAAAAAGCCGACAACCCCCAGGTGAGGGAATTTTTTCACAGGAACGTACGCACTGGTGGAAGTATTGCCAGGACCTAAAGCAGTACGTTTGAAAATTCCCAAGGTCTACGGAAAACACAAAAAGATGTTGAAAAGGATGTTACGTGATACCTTCGTCAGCGTGACAATCGATGAAAAAACTGATGATCGTGGGAAGATGGAACTACACATCCTGTTAGGCGCCCCATTGAAGTCCAAGAAGAGAGTCTGCGAGCACACCTCATCGATTCGGTCAACTTGGAGAGAATCAATTAGTGAGCATTTCTGAAGCCATTGTTATCAAAGTTCTAAAACCAGAGCTGTGCAAACAGCGCACACTGCTACAGGCTCTGAAATTGCCTTCGCCTTGAACTTGACCTTCCTTGATCACCTGCTTCCTAATGCGACAATCCGATTGATCAAACCATTGATTTAGTTTTCATATTGCCCAGTTAATGAGTTGATTGCTCTCTGTATAGGCCTCTACGGGCTTTATTCTCTCCAAGCGTTTTGCTTCATAATTGTACTCGCCTGATGAGAATTATCGAAAAGAATATTCTTCGCGCACTTGCTCGCTTCAGAATCAATTCTGCCAAGGAGGGAGAACCTATTCTGCGCAGCTTGACAATGATGGGTGTAGGCATCAGTCGTGTGACGGCTTTCGTGTCCGATGGCGCAAGATGTATGATAGCGTGCTACTGAGATGCCATTAGGCCGGTTTGCGAGGATTCAGTTCACATTACGTGCTGTCTCTCGCATCATTCTGATTGCACAGACCTTTCGCAAATCGACGGATGCGTTGCAACAACGAAAAGTGCTTTCGGGAAGAAAGAAGCTTGTCTACATTGAGTATCTAACTCAGGAAGGAGTGGGATAATCTGACCGGCTCAACGGCACCGATTAATACCCGCTGGAATTCCTGGCTGAAAGTTATCGCACATCACAGCAAGTATTTCCATCATTGTCCAGGCATGCTGCAAGCTGTACAAGATGAGTATGGAGACTCAGCTGGTGTTCGTGAACTTGTGGATATTCTAATCAACGAAACAACACGGAAATCTTTAAAGTGGCAACTGAGTTGCATTGCGGCTGTTGGCAAGAACATCATCCGTCATTTGTAAACTGCCGAATCACAGTTTCCAGTAACCCATAAGATTAACAATAACCTCACCGATCTATCCATGTCGCTGAAAACTGCCGCTGAGGATAACTGGCTGCAGCAGAAGCAGACAGAGACTGGCATGTTATGTGACTAGTGAAATCCAAACTGACATGCAACTCTGCTGCTCTCAAGCAGCCAAAAGAGTTGTTGACATCAGAGGCTAGCTGGCAGTTTGTGCAAGCCAGTTGAGTGATTTACCCCAACCAGCTCATCAGCTTGCTCAGTGATTCAGGTTGCTATGCCGACGTTCCAGTTCGGGTTGGTTACCCAGCTCTGGCAGCCGAATGGCGAAATCGGTCAAAAACTGGTGGAAGAACTGCATGGAGAAAAATGTGAAGACAAGCTGGCCTTCTGGTGTAGAATGCATGAAAGGACATTGTTAGCCGACATCTACGCATTCCTGTGACTTCGGGAGATGATGAACGGAAACTTAGTGCAACAAAAACGTCGTCTGATAAGCGTTACAACCCATCAGGCGATAGCATGAGGCACATTGTCCAGATGTACTTTAACCACTGTTTGAATCATAACTGATATGTACATAATGGAATGACGTGCTTGGACTTCTGTTTATTTTCATCTTCGCAGAGAAAGCAAGGAATTTTATGTCAGCGCTGCGGAAATTACGCAACATTTTTGTTGTTGACCGCGGAAAAATAGTTTTGCTACTGAAGAAAATTAGTGCCATTAACCATGGCTCAGTTGCGTAAGGCGCTGACTAAAAGTTGAGCAGCCATGGGTTCGAGTCCTAGAGAACTTTAGGGCATCGTGTGATGCTGACGAGTCTCAGGAGAACAAAATGCCATCGGGCGCTTTCCAAAACGGTGTGGATTACTGAATGACTGTGGATACTTGTGACGAAGACTTGCACCGGAGGAGGTCTAACGGCTCGTGGTTTATCCCACTTCAGTTGAAGGGTTATTACGAGAAGTTGCACAATCGACGGTGGCATCGACAGACAAGGACGGTTAAGATGATGCGCTCCAAGGTTGCTACTAGACCTGCATATAATGAGTCCACAGTGTATTTGTCAATTGGATGAATGTTACCGGACACTCGAAGTAGAGCCTTGCGAATCGTCGATGGACAAAAAGTACAAGGATAGAGGAACATTGTGAGCAAAGGGTTATAGTAGTTGAAAACGAATGAGTTCACATCATGCTTTGACACCACACAGCGAAATGGGAAGCGGATGGAACTCACATGCTCGTCCGGACTGGCAATCAGCAACGGTGCGGTCAGCACATCGACTAACCCATTAATAAAGTCGGTGGTCATAGCGACGGAGCGGAACGCGGAGTTGGAATAGTACAAGAAGAGCAAAAAACGAAGTGTGACTTCGGAGTAATTCTCAGCCCACTCCCAGTGTGGTAGGGGGTTGTTGACATCGGCATCCGCACCTGAGAGGGGTGAAGATTTCGCGCCCTGCAAAAAGAAATATCGCAATAAGGAAATCGTGCATCCGGGGGATTGTAGTGGTGCCATGTATTGCACACGGAATATGCGACGTGGAACTACGGTTAAAACTAGATTGCGAAAGAATCTAGATCCGATTAAGTAATAGAGAAGGGAAGAGCAACGAATCTCCCACTGCACCTAGGCAGATGGAATTTTGAGAACAGAGACGTAGGAAACAAAAAAAATCGAGAGAAGCGATAGGTCTTCTCCGCATTTGGTAGCGTTCATCTTAACCTGGTAGGTGTAATACGATGAGAACAGACAAGGAAAATCATAGGAGACAGAGAGCGGGCAACCAAACAATTGTCAGACAATTAAATGTTAGATGAATATTCATCCTTCATGGGCGCATATAAAGCATATTTTCGACTTGCCTTGAGTTGATAACTAAGTTAAAAGATTGAATAAATAATGAAAGAAATAGGTCGTTAGATGTGCTGGACGCAGCGAATCCGGAGTTGTCTAAATTTCAATTACTCCTAAAATGAAGATGCCACCGCTCTAAGTAACGAAGTGTCGGTGACCAACTTATTCTGCACTACCATTATATCAAAACTTCACCTAACAGCCCGGGCGAAAGGTATTCCCTCTCATACCAACGCACATCTAGTAATCTTGCTTTTACATTCCACAAGCAGTGGACGCTCAGCCCAACTCACCAACACGAGTAGATAGAGAAGTAGCGAGGATAATGTGCTTGTACTATCTGGTTTATGAGTTTCTGGGACGAATCAGTAAAAGCTCAACAAAATCTTCCTACTCATAAGTAACATGATAACAATCAAAAATTCATCGCCGATCATTATTAATGACAACGCAAAAGCATGTGGAAGTGATGGGAAAAGCGTAAATAATCATTGTAATGCTAGTAACATAAACATATAGCCGAAGCAGACTGATACGAGCAACCCCACAATGCACAAGTAGTTTCAGTGCACTGCAGAAACACTCGTTCCCATGCGAGTTGGACGCCATTCCACAAGTGTGGAGTAAATTGGGAGACAAAACTTATTGAGTTGCTCCCGCTATGGTGCTAACATTTCGATCTTTGGAGACATATCAGAAATGCTAGGATGTCCATCCTATCCCATGCACAATAGTAATGTTGAAGACAGTGGAGAGCGAGCCAGACTAGACCACCTGTCAATAACTTACCAAGTGATCTCGACTCGGGAGGGAAGCGTAACAGGATCCATCTCCTCATCCGGGCACAGTGGACGAGTTCCAAGAGGAGCGGCATGTCGGATTGCCGTCTAACTGATAATGACTGTGATGGAATCAAGTTAGACCAACTAAAATTCATACCAATTCTACTGTGAAGTGGCAGCGTTTCATTAAACGAACATAATCATTCGCAGCCGGTGTGTGAGGGCAAAGGACCAAAAAACAACTGGAATAAACCGCTTGCTTTATACGCAAAAAAGAACTTATAACGGACTTACTCCTGCGGCAGAAAGGTAGTGAAATAATGCTCACCCATATATATATATATATATATATATATATATATATATATATATATATATATATATATATATAAAACTCCGCATTAGTCAAGATTGGAAGAAATTACGGCGTTTTTAATGCGCAGCCATAGCGAATCTAAATCAGTGTTGACAGAAAGACCTGGGACCTGGCTAACGTTGTAGTAGCTTGTAGATTTTCTACGTTGGGTCGGTAGTACGTATATTATGCGATCTTTCGAAACGTATGCAAGTCTCAGCGAACCAATGCGCCAACAGTTCAGACAAGTTAACCAGTACGATCGGCATTCTGTTACGCTTCCCCGCCATTTATAGTTTATTGCCATGCGATCAAGCTGGGTTCGGGAAGGCGGTAGAGATAGCTATGCAGAAGCCACATCTGCTTCGCGGGCAAGGTGAACTGTTATAACTACCACTTGATTACGCCACGCTCTGACGATATGGTATCAACTCTCCTAGTCGGCCAAACGAATGTGGCTTAGAACTATTTCACGCACGACAAAGTAACCGACAAATGCGAAGTTGTACGATCCGTGAGACTTAGGCGCAACACGGTTACTACGCGCGAGTTGTACGGGTTCCTAGACCGAATGCAACTTTACACGCAGCTACCCGAACCCGAGAGAACAAGACAAAAAGACAGGCCTTTCGCGTAGGCAGTTTTACTGGCCAGGCTCAAGGCGATTACAGCGCAGTCCAGCTTTTTTATACCTCGATGGGGCCAAAAACTTGCGTAAGCAAACCCTAGAAGCAACTAAATTGGCACTATGCGAATATGCCAACGGAACATGTTGAAAAGTGAAGGTTGGCAGATGCAGAGGCTGCACTGGAAAAATGAAAGTTTCTTAGGTAAAAAAAAGACTGAATGTTCTATGATTGAAGTGAGATTGGCCAGAAACAGGAATGTTTCTGAGGTATAAAGGCCAATCAAAACGTGAATGTCTCACAAGTTGGAAGGCTGATCGAAACGTGTGCACTTGTCTGAATAGAGTTTAACCTTATGATCATTATGGGGAGGTTGGGTCCCCATAACATGAAAGGATAACTGACCATTACCCGTTGGAAAGATGCCTACTTGACATACATTTCTGTGCGAATTTCTAGTATCCAGCTTTCATTTTCCTATCATCGGCCAGCGTGTGGAATGGATGAACCTGAGAATATTAACGGCTCAATTCGAAATCTTTAAAGCCGAAATTGATTCCACTATGGCATAACATGACTCGGAAATAGTATAGTATGTAATTCGCAAGACACATGTTAGGATCATACTCTGGATGAACAAACCAGACGCCTGCCCCATCTGATGGATGCCGGCTTACCGATCATCTCCCATGTGATCTAATATCGATGTTGCCATGGCTTCAGTTCACTTCTCACTGTGAAAACCGCTCACACACACTGTGCAACCCGTCCAGACCTCCCAAACACATACCAACCTCAGACTTGAATCATCCTCCCGCCCCAGGGGCACAGGTCTCCCAACCCCAGTGTTTGACTGAGCCAAGCAAGCCCAAGAGCCCAGCCCATCGTGTTCACCTTCAGAAGTTGTATAGCGAACGAATGACCCAAGGGTTAGCGGATCTAAGGAAAGAAAAATCACAGCCCGAGCGAGGATTCCGTGTCGTATGGCTCTTAATGTACAGTAGCAATTACAGTTTGCATTTTTCTTTGGACATGTGAAGACCGTTTGGTTTAAAACTGAAGGGGTGTCGTCGAGGTATGTATATAGTTTATTTTGTTTCCTATTTGAATAGTACAGCAGCTAACGTCTGGGCTTCCTTTCTTGGGTATTACACGTCATTTGAACCCCAAGCTAGTTTGTCGGTTACATCCGTTTTTTGACACTTGCTTAGGCGCGACAATCCTTTAATTTGATTGGCAGGCATGCCTAATTCTCAGTGACCGTTTGCTCGGACACATGTGAGTGAGCCTTATTATTATAATTTCTCATTCGCCTGTGTCGTGCCGCGTCTCCTTCGTTGTCGACTGCCTTCGCTGTGCTTTAGTAGCTTTGCTTCTCATGTATACAATTCTGTCCCGGCTTGACTTTCGTGTTCTCAGTGTGGTTGTGAGGTGCGAACAGTCAGGGGGTGATACAACACCAAGTTTGGCAACGCAAGGTAAGCGTTAAACAAAAGGGGCTCATTGTTTGATTCACAAAAAGGCGTATGAGGACCTTGGATACCCATGACAATCGGAACGGCATTGGTTTCAGAGATGCAGAAACAGTCGTCTGGAATATGTGTTGTCATGCATGGAATCATAGGGAGCTCTCGGTAATTTGACACAACGTGAAAGCCGCGTTAATCAAGCATTGGCTACGGATATCAAAGAGGTCCACGATAAATGGCATTCGCCTAGAGATAGTTAAGCTCGGATAACCAAAGCCTAAGACTGCGAGTGGGGAACACTCGCCCAACGCGCATTCTAGACCTGGAAAACCAAGCCATTGTCTACTTTCACTGGAGTAAATGTACCGCTAGGTAACAAGAGGTACAATTTAGAGAACGTAGACGACATGGTTGCCTTTGGATTGCACATAGCCACTTGGCAGACGCGAATCATTAGTCAGAGGCGTGGCACAATAGGATGAGGCAAATACGATACCAAATCAGGGTTTATAGCAATTCCCGCGAAGTTGCATAAAAAGGCGAATCGTTTACAAAAAAAGGTCGAAAATGTTGCCGAACCCTGTGCGATTCACCAGCCGCTCAGAGCCAATCCTTTGACCTGAATTGTGTTCTCATTGGCCGGATGCCAAAGTTCGGTGCCTTAGTCTGGGGAGGTGAGCGCGCTCCCCGTTGACGGTGAGAATTATGAATGAACCTTAGAGACATGCACTTCGACGGTGCAACGGCATTGCAAGCGCCCCCCTCACGTCCGAAACGGTGGATCACAATTGGTCTGAGAGCAATGAACAGCCGGAACATAAGTGCACGACCGAAACTATGTCCATGATTCTAACGTCGCCGGCATGCCTTCTCGCGTTCGACAGAGTATCTCATCAGACATTCGTGACCCAGTTTTGGGCGCCTTCGTCAACAGTGGTGACTGGCAGCTGGTGGCAACTGTGAACAACGTCAAGTATCAAACACCCTACCCCTGGATTCGTCGTCCTCTTGATCAGGAGCCGAGTACTACGCAGGCGCGCGGTCGTAAGCGGATTTTGTCGGAGGAATACGTAGATGACATCCTGGATTGGATCGTAAGGAACTCAACCCTTGCGCTACGGAAAATACGAGTACGAGCAGAAATGGACAAGGACATTTCGAAGTCAACAATCGCACGGCACCTGAATGGTCGATTGGTAACTATGAGGAACATCTATTAGGTTCCCGAGAGAATGAACAATGAGCGAACCAAAGGGATACGCACGACTGTGGGTCTACATAACATGTGCCCTCTGATATTCAAAAGAACCACACAAAATCAAGTAAGAGTACAACGAAGGAAAACGTTAGAGACGTGAATTTGGCCTCA